GGGCATTACACTTTACAACAAACTAGGCAATGATATTAAAGACATAAACACAATTCATACATTTAAAATTAATTGAAAGCTTTCCTGCTTAACATGTTCTACAGTATAAAGGAATTTTCAAATAACATTTCCCTAAAAAAATATACATAAATAAGAATTTCTTATCCCATTAGACTTTCTGTTTCATGTAAACTGTTTTGAGCTGAAGCACAGAAAAAAGAACTGGCATATTGCATTCTCTTACTAAATGAAAAAAAAAGTTTCTCCAGTTAAGGGTTAAAAATAGATTGGAAAAATTTAACTAACAGATTAAAATAACAGAAATGCACACTAAAATGTCCAAGTCAGCAACACACATAAAACTGTGATTTTTTTTTTTTAAATAATCTTTCATCTTCAGATTGATTTTACATCCACACACAATAAACTAATTACAAAATTACTTTCGATGTTTGTACTACTCTACATAGTAACAATTAAACATATGTCTACAGAATTCACTCACACAGCGTTAATTTTAAGTTTAAGTGTTCATGGTACACTTTTGTTGTTGCACATGAGGCGGTGATATCAGTATACTTTTTGCCAGTCTAATAAGAATACCTGTTATCTGAAGTTAGCTGATGTCCATTTCCGGTCTACTATGGCACCAGTGCCTAACACTTAAGCCATACTTTCTGTTGGCATGTTCTAAGTTTTTTCACACCAATAAATGAACAGATTGTGGAGAAACTATACACATTATTTTGAGCATCAGCAAAACTGGTTTTCCAGAAAATAGCAAAAACCACACAAAATGTCTTTCCAGAAAGGAGCATGTACAGTGCTCAAGAACAACACATCTAATGCTGCAATAAATTAAATATTTTAACAAAACAGTCTATGCAAGTATTGCAAAGTGGTTACCTCATTTTCAAGGAACACAAGGAAACACTAGGTTTATAAAAGATTCTAGGAGTGGGAACAGAATAAGAATATACAAGTAACCAATTTTCTATTTCCTTGACTTAGCTTGGGTTATATTTCAGTTAGTCAATACAACCAATCAATCAAAACAAATTAATTTCAATCATTGATTAAAAGATCTACATTTGTATAAGGACCATCTTGGTTCAAAATTTCTTTGACTTTGTAATAGGCTATACATATCTATGCAGTACTATGCTTAACAATTTAAACAACTGATACAACATAGCAATTACGAAACTTATTATTGGCATCACTTCCAATTACGCCCTCATTTGAGAAAAAATAATTTTTATTTCGCAAATAGGATGTAAATTATTTATATTAATGAATATTCTAAGTTTTGAACTATAATTCTGCTCTTCATTCTAAATCTTATTCTTGAACACAGAGAAGCTGAAATAATATTTTTATTCATAATGGAGCAGGAGTGGGTACATTCATCAACGGAGAATCAAAATTATCCAAATTGGCTGGTAGATGAAGGGGAGGTTCTTGCTGACTGCCAATCTTTTCTTGTAAAGACTCATATAACTGATGAACAGATTCATTGTGTTGGCTGGTAGGCTGTAGAGCCTTCATAAGAGTTTGAAGTCTATTTTCAGGAAGTTTTGGGTGAATGTAGCACAATAGTTTCAATAAATGCTTAGGAACATTGTCTCGAGACACTCCAGCAAAAAAAAATTCATCAAATATAACAGTACAAAAATCTTCAGCAGCAAATTCGTCAGCAAGATAAATAAGAAGAGAAACAAGTGAATGAAGAAATGGATCTTCAAATGCTCTATCATTTTTACAATTTGCTAATGTACCTAATACTCTCATCAGACCAACTCTGTCCTTGTATTTAGCTGTATGCAATGTATAATACATAGCTAAGATGCTAGCTACACTACTTTCTTGCACATAAGCTTGACATGCATCCGGTGGTGGACCAGAATGTTCAATAATTGTAATTGCAGATTCACGTTCATCTGGAGGAAGTTTACTATTTAGTGCTCGTACATGATCATCGACCATTAGAGACATTAATGCTGGAAGAAATTTTGTCACTATTTGACTATCCAGTTTTGGTTCTTTGAATTCTTGAGAGTCAATCATGACCCATGCACTGAGACCCAGGGCTAACATTCTGAGTAACAGAATAAGTATTGTATTATCTCTTGGCAAACCATCATTATTTATTAAGTGTTGTAGTATTTTAGTGGCTGATGTTGCCAAAAAATTGATAGCATATGGATCACATAAGGTCATTGAAAGATCTCCAAGAACCTGTTCTTGACCTCTTTTAATACTATCCAAAAATCCTTGTAATTCCCTAGAACGTTTAATATCAACATTCTTCTCTCGGATGCAAGCATCTAAACACCACGTAAATTTATGACACGGATCAACTGATATAATTTCTTGTACTTCTAAATCATGAAGAGCCATCAAGAGTTCTGCACGCAAAGTACAATAATGAATATTTCGAGTTCGTAAGAAGAGTGTTCTGAGAAACTGCAGCACCATATCATACAATTTTACACTTGTTCCTATCATATGAGCCAGTTTCTGAACAACTTCTCCTTGTCTTCGCACCTTAGGAGATGGTGAAAAAAACAAATTGTGCATATTTAGATGATCAAATAAGATGTTTTCTTTCTCTCTAATATACTGACTCAGTAATGGTGATACTTCATCACCAAACAATGACTGGTTGTCTTTCCAAATTTGTCTTTTAACTTCTGTATCTGTATCATTGTACAATTCTCTATCTCTCACTAAAATTTTTAAATACTTGTCATCAATAAGCTGAGTGTTTCGCAAAATACACATAACCACAGGTCTCAAAGCTTTCACACGAACAAGAGGGAAACTTTTGGTCAACAATTCTTTAAGTTTTTTGTCCCTCTCCTTCCCTTCTTTTTTTCCTATCTCATTTATGTGTTCAACCAGTCGATCTCGAAGTTCTTCAAGAATAGATGTATGAAAGTCCAATCTACGAACTCCATGTAAATCTAACAATGGAAGCATCGGTCTCAATGAAGGAAGTAAAATTCCATTTTCCAATTGAAATTCTTCAATTGCTTTTAAAGGATCTGTACAACTGGTTAGCGCTTCTCGTAAATAGTTTTGGCCAGGTACTCCAACATCTTCCAAACCCGTTCCAAACATTTTTTCTTAATAAGCTATACTGCATAGGAACAAAATCTCAAATAATTCATCTCATTGCACAGGGAAAATTCTCAAATATTTCTTCTTTTTTTTTTTACACACACACGTACAGATACAAATGAAATATTAAACAGCACTCCCCACCCACATTAGAACCAATAATTACTCAGCAATCCAACTAAATGTAGTAGTTCCTTATTGGGCACTAAAAACATATCCAACAACAGGTTGATACTTCTTGTTAACTTCTTATGCACAATAACCTCAAAGAATCAGTAATAATTTCATCCCATGCACGAATAGAAGTGTCATAAAAAAACGAACGTGCGTATTCTTATTAACAATAGTTTCACGAATTGTATTTCCACTTTGCATGCAAGTCAATTCAGTACCGCTGGGCACCAATCTCACGATAGTCACTGATGATTCCTTGAGACTACCGCCAACAGATCACTGATCTTCACCCTCATCAGCATTATAATAGCAAGGGTTCCACATGTAACGCTAAGGAATGTGGTCCGACAATGCCAAACACATCACCCTCGAAGTCCAAGCCAAAGAGTGTAGGTCAGTGAGGTCGGTCAGGACCAGGTGGTCAGGACAGGCCCACGCTCATGGGGACTAATTCCCATTGGGAAAGCCGCGGGAGGAAGGGGGGCAGTTGGGCAGAGTGGAGCGGGGCGTGCGGAGGCAAGCTGTGGCTCAGGCTGGTTCGGACCACACTGGACCATACTATAATTCGGACAGGTAACGGCAGCAATATCGCCACGCTGAGGGTAGTTCCCTCAAAACAACGAAATATCATAAGATATTTATACACCGTGGAAATACGCACAATCGTCGCATGACAGCAGAACACGGAGGATTTATGTGTTACCAACTGCGCCAAATAATACATTTGGCGCGAATATGAAAAGACGGTAAGTTGAACCAATGGAATTGATTGCGAAAAAAGTTATTATCAATCAGATATTAAATTCGTGGTTTCCGGACAATTCTTACGCTAATGAAAGAAGACATCGAGACATTTGTTCTTATTGTTGAACAATCACAGATAAGGAATTCCACCTCAGGAGTTATTTCGACATGAAAGATCAGTCAAGGGAGTTTCATAATGCTTTCGGACCTCAATCCTAATTATCATTCTTTATACCAAACAAGGATCATGAATGTAAAGAGAAATGAAATAAAAATAGAGATCCTCAATTATTCAAACAATAAGTTTTGTAGATCAAGGCGAGAACAGCCTTCACAATATATTTCATACGCGTCCAAACCAAATCTTAAGAATATTGATTTACTGGATTTCACGACGAAAAGAAACCGGGACATGATTTATAGCAGTGTGTGATTGACAAACGAAGAAATAATTCCCACTTCTTCAAACTGAACTCCATTTCTTATTCTGTTTTTCAGACTTTACTGCAGTGAACTCTATTTCTAGTAGTTCCCTTCACAACAGTATTGATGGCACCTCTAAAAGTAACTTTCTAATATACCTCTGGCCCAGCTGTACCCAAGGGGCGGATTTACGCATGGAGACGGGGGCGCATGCCTACGGCGGCAGAACTTGTGGACTAAACATGTGTCTAAAGAGCCTCTTCGTTGCAGGCGATTTTTTTTTTTTGTTTTGTTTTTCAATTTGTATTCTATGAGTTTTTTTAACAGAATGATTGAGTACTCGCAAATTATTTTATTAACAGGCTGATAATACCTTCTCATGTATAACTAGGGCTACATGGCAGTCCATGCAAGTGGCAACGAAATGCTGACGCCAACGTGGAATGACACCTCTGCATGAAGTCTCTCGTTTAACAGCCGAATTTCATTGCAGCAGGGAATGTAGTAAGGCCTTCGGAAAGGTGAAACGTGTAATCACATCGGAGGAAACGCTCGTGCATTTTGATTCTTCGTTACAGTTCATGTTGACCTGCGATGCATGGCAGTTGTGTTGCTTTACGTTTTTCCGGACGGCTTGACTAGTTTCAACACCCGTTTCTGCTGACAAATCAGCAACAAAATTATTCGGTTCTACAAAAAAAAAAAAAAAAAAGCTGTTTATTGGGTAGTTGGGTAGTAGGTAAATTCTATCAATATTTGATGGTCTATGAATTTATCTCTAAAGACCACAAACCACTTTTAGCTTCGTTCGGGGAAAACGAAGTTGACAGCATTGAGATGCACATTCATCCACTTCTCGGAAAAGATATCCTAACTAGACAAAACGTCTTTCCTCGCCAGTTCACGCAATAAGAACCCCAGTGCGTCCTCAACGTTGGTTAAGTAGCCCGCTCTACACGCCCTGTTTCCTTCCCGGGCCAGCGACATTGACTTTTCTTTTCATCGTGTTTATCATCACCGGCAAAATATGAGAGAGACTGAATACTTTCTTTATTGCTCAATGGACCATCACTCGGAAATTTGCTGCTGTTAGTCCCACCTCTCTCAGTCCGACCGACTTGTACAAACAAAATTGCCGGTGAGCATTAGCAGGGGAGCTTTCCTATTGAATTGGGTACTGTTAGTTATACTTTTGTACTTTTTTGTTTTTGCTTTATTTAACAAATTTTGTAAATATCATTTTTGGATTCATAAGCTAATATTGTAAAAATTTCCATTTGTAGCCTGATGAAGGATTTGTATCCAAAACATCACAAATTTCATGAATATTAAAATAAAATTCTGGAATAAATTTGATGTGGTGTTTTATTTGCGTTTGTCAGATATTTAATGGGACTGGAAAGTAATTATAAATATAGTTAGATTTTGTGTAATGAGCTTCACAATCTAATTAAACAATAAACATTCTCACCAAATAAAATTAGTAATCACATGTAACATTATTAAAAGAAATAAATTCATAAGTTCACATAAATTATATTTTTATTAAACTACAAATCACATAAAACCAAACCATTTCTTTTAACAAAATTATTACAATCTTTGTATCATTATATTCGTTCAAATCATGAATTTGGAAACATTTTCCTACACTTTCGTGGTGTAGTACTAGTTAGCACTAGTCAGGCAAGAAAGCATTTTCTTAGTTGGCTTAAATTTTTCAGAACCACCAGACTTTTTTATGCTTGAGAACTTAAACACGAGACCATTTCAACTCGGGTGTAGGCCAATTGATTTTGATAAAGTTCGAGAATGTTTGCTCGCATGTGGCACTCAAAGCGGATAGAAAAAAAATGTCTACAAGAAAACCCACTAAATTATTAAACCAGTCTCATTCCTATAGTTTTGTAATGCAAACCAAAACTTGTCAACAGATCTTTTATCATCATGATAGATCTGATGATATGTTCAACGATATAAAAGCCATTGCCAAGTCAAATACACAAGTTCAGCTGATTGAGTTATTAACATAAAGCAGTCTTGGGCATGGGGGGATCTCACCCTCCTCAAGGCCAACTGTCGCTCTAACACCATACACCATAGTGGGCACCATTCTAAGACAGGAATGCCTTTCCACAGAAGACACAAGGACATAAGAATCTGCCATTTCAAAAAATGCTATAATGGATTTTGAGAGTAACTCCTGAAGAAAAGGAAAATAGGTCCTCAAAATGTTGAGATGTAAAACTTCAAAAATTAATAGAACATTTTTATAATACTTTCTTTTTCTAATTTAGGTTCCTGATTAAATGTTTTCTGCTTTCAATGAGTTTAATAAAAAAGACTGTCTAAGATAATTCTGGACAACAAAATTTAAAAATGAAAAACAGAAGAAGAAATTTTAGTGCTTCATTTTCATACTGTATACATCTTTACCATTTTGTTTGCTAATATCTTTTGAGTTTTATTGACGGGATACATTTTTCACCCATCTTTTTTTCTCTCCCCAAAATAAATAAGTTTTTAAAATATTTTTATGAATAGACGATTATGATTATTTGGATTGAGGATATGGTTGTTCCTATTTGCAGATAAGGAAGGTAATTTTTATAATATTTAAATAAAGCATATTTTTAAAATGCAAATTTTAATTGACAATAACAGTGTACCTTGAATTCTTTAATATGGCAGATTTTAAATATTACTGTACTTTTTAAAAATAGTTGCAGTTATGATGAGATTAAAATAGAGCCCAGTGTCTACTGCAAAGCAACAGGTTTCTATTCCCTGGGGGTACATTTTAAAGCATTTAATATATATTAAATATGTAGAAAAACAAAGTGCAAAGGGTTATATAACTACTAATAAAATGTTAGCAAACAATATACAAACTGCCAGAATTATATTTTAAAACTATCAATAACGTTAAAAAGAAATATATGGTGTAGATACAGATTGTAATCACTACGAAAAGGAGTTTAAGGTGTGGCACCTTTTCACAAATTTAGCTGTTTTCATACAGATAGTTAAATATATGTATTTGGGGGGATGAAATAAAGTGAAAGGAACACAATTTGTTGTACCTCTTTGCACCTTTTCATGAGATAACTACATTTTACCACTGTTTCCTTCTTTTTCATGCTCCAGCACCTTTTTTCCACTTATTTCTGTGTTTTTACATGAATGGACAGAAAGATGTATTTTAATAAGTATATAAGTAAATAAGTATATAAGTATATAAGTATATAAGTAAATAAGTATTAAATTATCTTTTACGTAAAAGACCAGTAATTATATCCCAGCAACAATGGTCAATCTGCAGTCAAATTTTAATTTCACCAGTGTTACCACAATAGTTTAACCCTTTTCCGCTGGATTTAAAGTGCTGCCCAAGCAGGCAAATTGGTATGTTTAAATGAATGTGCAGAAATCCACTGGTCTGTGACCCATGTTTACCTTTGCCATTGTGTCGCCATCAATACTACAAGAGCACAGTCTGCGCTTGTGAATTTGAAGGAGAAAGGAGTGTGGAGTCTGTTACCTATGCCTGCAAGAGACCATTTTCCCACAAGGGCAAGTGCTTATGCGGCGATTGACGCATCTGCCAAACACATTCTACTATGTGATCTGCAGGAAAAATAAGTAATTGTCACTACTGGCAATTATTTAACAGTTTTTTCTCTACAGCGTTGGTTAAAGGCCTATGAATCACCTCTTATAAACTTCTTGACTACTTAAAAGAATAAAAATGGTGCAAAATGATATGTACCTAACCACAGTAGGCACATTTTCTTCATTTGAAATAATGAAGATCATACATAATCTCACGGTTCTCAACAATTACATGAGGAATTTCTAAATTCCTCATGTAATTGTTGAGAACAGGGTAAAAGTGACCAGGGCATCAATTTCTCCTATGACATACCATGTAGAATGTTCAACGATCCAATTTGATTCTTCACACATAATTTAAGCAAAGGAAAAAGTACAAAATAGTCTGCAAATTAAAAAACAATAAATATATTTTAAGTACCTGGTAACAACATTTTATTGTCACCCTTGCAACAATTCCTGATTTTTGGAGCACTTGTACAGAGTACTCGATGCTTCATTAAGGTCTTCAGTCTAGGGCCCAGCACTGGCAGTCCCTGTTGCACCTGCACGGGATGGATGATGGGGTATGCCTGCTCCAGCACAATGAGGCTGACTTGCCGCCCAGCACCTCCAGATAATTTAGGCAGCATTATTTCACTACTGCTAGCCAAATGAGGTTGATGATGTGTTGACAATGGTGTTGGTGTGATGTGTGGTGGTGGATAATGGTCTTTAGGAGAAGACACAGATCCTCCTCCTCCATCGCATGGTCATGGCGCTGACTGGTTCTGTGGTGATGGGACAGACCTTAGGGACAGGCTAGATTGTGGCAACCTATGATGCACAGATATGCTGACAGCTTTTCCTGGAGGATCCATCATCATACTAGTAATGCTACTAGTATGATGATAGGTGCTCACCTACCAGCCTGGTTGACATACTACCATATTCCAAGCCTGGTCTGCACTACAAAACTTGTCTTCACCTGGACAACACATGAATTGTTGTCAAGCCACACCTTGTAACCTATTATTGTGTGTACAGAGAGGCAAGAGGAAGTTGTTGGAAAGTGGCTGTTGCTGCAGTTGTTGCTCTTGACATCGCATGGATAGAAACTGTTGCTGTTGTGTCTACCACTGAAGCTGCTGCTGTTGCACAGGCATCCTTCTCTGATGCATGCTGCAGTTATTGCTGCTTGCTAAGAGACATGTTTTGCAGCAAGTGTTGTAGCTGGATAAGATCCACAATTCCTGCAGGATCTTGATCAGAATTTGCTTGATTCTGAGCGTATGATTGTTGGAATGCTTCCCGCTGTTTAATAAATGTGGCCATGAGCTGAGGATTACTTTTCAAAATTTGTAATACCCGAGTGTGTCGTTCTGGAGTATTTGGCGATTTTAATACAGCCGTTGCTGTAGGACAAGCTTATGAATGGAGACCAGGTGCATTTCCTTCAGCATCAGAATTACCAGCAGTTCCAGGTGGCTGTGTTCTGATATTTGGACCTGGACCAATGTGGGTAGAATCCATGCCATCAATTACCTGTTGCAACTGTGGATCTTGATCAGAATTTGCTTGATTCTGAGCGTATGATTGTTGGAACGCTTCCCGCTGTTTAATAAATGCGGCCATAAGCTGAGGATTACTTTTCAAGATTTGTAATATCTTAGCTTGTTGTTCTGGAGTATTTGGCGATTTTAATACAGTCAAAAGTTGCTGTAGGGCAGGCTTTTCAATGGAGGAGAGACCAGGTGCATTTCCTTCAGCACCAGAATCACCATGGGATGTTCCAGGTTGTTGTGTTCTGATATTTGGACCTGGTCCAATGTGGGAAGGACCCCTGCCATCATTTTCCGCTTGTGACTGTGGTGGAACTTGCGCATATTGCTGTTGTGGCATTGATCCTCCAAAGTTGGGTTGCCCCAAACCAGTATTTTGCTGAAGAGCTTGGTTGGAAACGTATCTATAATGATATAAATATAGACATTAATTTAAAGGTACTTGGGGTAAGTGGCAACAAATACTCAGCCTCATTTAGTACCTCGGCGTCCCCTGGTCCATTGAGAACAGTATGTCCGGAACACGTGTCTTGGGGAGTTGATGGAGGCAGCAAACTGCTTTTTGAATTATTGCCGACAAGAGCTATTGTGGAGTCGCCTGGGTGTGGCCGATGGAAAACCTGTGCAAGCCGGTGCAGGTCCTGTGCGCGTATATAGAGATTGCGCACTCATGACGTCACAGTCGGCAAGGTGACGGCAGTCTGTTATAGACTGGTGACGATTGCACCGATTTATTTCTCAAAAACGTCCACTTCCTAACTTTTCGACAGGGAGCCTCGGCATATAAAATTTACATTTACGTTTCGTGTAAAAAAGCAATAAAACAAGTTACTAACGCAGCCAAAAAAATATTGCGCAAGCGTAGTTTGCTTCTCGTGCGCACCATTTCCGCATTCTACGCTTTGATTCCGCTGACAGTATATACAGGCCGCCAGTTTGTCCCTTTCTCTCGAAGGCCAAGTTCTTGATCTACATGACAATCCAGAGTGGATCTTTCTGACGTTCGTAGCAGGAGCGGATCCATCCGATCATTTTGGAGGGGGTCAAAGATTTTTGTTAAATAATAAACTTTTGTTATTATATTGTTTATTATTTTTATGGCGTATATATGATATGATACAATGGTATTGGTTTAAATAACCTCATTATTCTAACATAAATAAACATATAAATCGATTTTTCCAAATAGAAGGTTACAAACGAAAACTTTAGTCATCTTTATGAGGGCATGGCCCCCGTGCCCAACCCCCTCCCGGATCCGCCAATGGTTCGAAGATGGCGCAGGAATCATTGAATCAAGAGGGGGAAAAAAAAATGTTAAATGATATCGTGTAGTTATGTTGGTGCACGATCTAAGAAACACCTCAAGTATTTCTTTTGCCGCGAGATGGGGCTTGGGGGACGAAGTCCTCTTTGACCATGTTAAATTGAATATTTGTTTATTTTTCTCAATACTTGTCCAATGCATTAGAGATTTAATACTGACAATGTACACCTTCCTTGTACTGTAGTAGAAATACAATATTTGCATTCATACGAATACCAATATTATAACAAATTACCATAATGAATGTCAAAAATTTGAAACAAAAAAATATTTTTACCTTATGAATAATTTGTACACTGACACTAATAAACATACCACAGTATTTTCATGATGCAGTCTACTACATTGATTGCAAAATAAGTGCTCGAGTACAGGTTCTGAAAAGAGGAACCTAGAGCCTAACCAATTATGAATTTAAAAAAAATATTTTTTCATCTCCCATTAAGATTTAACCACTATGTAAAAAAACACCAAGTTTGTGAAATGATATACCCGTATTACTTTCTGTATTTTTTCTGAATAATTTTAACTAATTAAAATTGATATTTTTTTCAGTGATTATAATTAAAAGATAAACATTAATATCAACCCATTAATTCCCAAGTTATTTTCACTGAAGTTTTTTTTAATGAAAATAAAAAAAAACATCATAATTGAGTGCTAGTTATTTATATTTATCAAAATTATTAATTTGGGTGGATGTGGGGGCCTGTCCTCAAATGAGAATGCTGGAACTTGTTATGAAGTTTTCAGCAATAATGAAAATTATACTTTATGACAAATGTTCATGCCCACTGGATTTAAATTTTAGTAACTACTTTTTAAATTAGACAAAAATAAAATTAAAAATTAAACAACACAATTACACAATGTTATGATAATTAGTCAACAGAGCAAATACGATTACACTACAAAACTATTTTCAAAAACGAACTTGTACTAAAATATTTTCGAAAAAGTTCTTGCACTCGGCTAAGATTATACTACAAAAGTATTTTCAGAAAAATCTGTGATACTTTACTTTCTGGAGTGGAATGGACCAGAACATTCCACAGAGAGGAACATTGCATTTAGCACAACTTGTGCGAGACTTGCTTATGTGCAATGAGTACTGACATATTTTTTCTCCCGCTTACTGATGTATCCTTGTCTGTTGAATCTGACTTCAGGCAGCACACTTGCAGGAGAACCTTTGCATTCTTTCACAGAAATAGAATGTTTGCCGCGAATCAAATTCTATACACAATACATATTGACAACAGCCATGTCAATAATTTTTGTAAATAAGCACCAAAACAACTTTTATCCCTGAATGGTTATTGTGTGTTTTTCTGGGAACCAATCATGCTAATCAACTCCTCCCATGTATACATTGTAAGTGTGTAGAAAAGATAGTTGGCTGAGTTATATCCTTTCCCTTTCTTTTTTGCAGAATCTTTGAACTTTTACAGTAGGATCAATAAAATCAAAATTTATTATAAAAATACTTCTCATTTTTCCTTGTTTTAGATTTGTTTTCCTCCATCATTCCTCAGAAAAATACCCTGAAATAGAAATTTCAACTCTTTTACAAGTTTTTCACTTCACGAAAGAATTGTATAATAAAGTCCCAGCATCCTCATATGACGACAGTATCAATATCATGAAAATCTTGAACCATATAACTGCACAATATCATATTCTTCATAACGTATGAATTGAAACTATTGTTTCAGCGTGTTTTACACCTTGCCTAAATTTAGTAATGTAGATGTAATCAAATGTATTATGAACATGCACAAAATATAAAATACACAAACTTAGAAAGCTAGAAAAACTACACAAAAATAAATCTGAGCGATAACAAATGTTTTTATTTGTTGAATAAAGCTTTGTGGTGTTGCCAAACAATGTGGTGGAGAATAAAATTTATAATGCAATGAAATAATGAACATTTTCACTGTCCTCAGTTGAGGATGCTGGTACTTAAATAAAGGTGTCTAGAATTAATAAAAATTTAGAGGAAGTCTCTTATAATCAAATAGCATAGTCTTGACATTCGTTGGCAATGTTAAAATCCAATACATTTTTAGGGAGAAAAAAAAAAAAAAAACGGCATGTAGACCGAGTTCTTTCATACTTGTCACTTTATTGCATCGCACAAAGCATCATCACTCAAGAAAATAATATCCATTTTGAATTTTTATTGAAATGAAAACGTATTATACTGGCTTCATAGATAGAACAGCTTTTATTAAAGTTATATTTTTGATGTGCTGTCAGAATCTCAAGAAAACCGAAAGGAAGCAAAATCACCATAAATAACATTTGGGATGCAAAATGCAATCCTAAGGGGTCAACAACTGCACAATACAACTGAACACTTGAAAGAGAAAGCGCTTAAGCACACAAAAACCTGCTCAGAACATGTTTGTTCACTGCGGAGATACACCCCAGCAATAATGAAATTTGTCTTCAGACAACACTCAACACACAAAAAGTGTATTACAAAACTAATTGGGATGTACGGTACACATCTACAAAAGAAATTTAGCAGGCACACAGAACCTGATTATAATCAACTGTCTTTCCTGAGCTAGAGTCCAGTATAACATATCATTGATACACAAGTTTGGAATATGCTTCTTAATCTCCAATAAGTTAACCTGCAGTATAACAAGAATATTTTACTTTGTTCTTATTAAGGAGTCTCAAGGAAAAACCTTTTAACTTTAGCATTTTCCCCAAATATTACTGCCATTAAAATGCAACATTAACAGCATAGAAAAACACTCATACATTAGCGTAGTTTCTCTGAATTATGCTCTATGGTATCGGCGGTAAGTTCAGGTACTTGCCTACAGAGTATTTTGCTTCTCCTGTAAAATTGCTATTTCAGACATCAATGCTTTCCCAAAGGAGCACATCTTCTATCGTTAGAAAAGAGTGCTTTTAACTTACGGCATTTATTCAGAATAAGAATCAAGAGACAGCGCACGTAACAAGTACATTGTAATTGCATGGTAATTGAATAAATTAAACAAAACAAAAAGTTAAATTCATTTATTTGGCATTCAGATTATATTAAAAATTACTGTGAATACAGTAGTAGTTTCCAAATATTAATCATAAATACAATGTAGTCATAAATAATGGCAATAATATTTAATTAAAAGTGCATACATTGAGTGTTTTTCACCAAGTACAGCTTTTATTCACTTATAAAGGTCTTGAACACAAATAAGTTCTGATAAATTAAATAACTGTAATGCAAAATTATGCATCTGGCAAAGAAAATGTAAGATGAATATTTCTGACAGTAATTGGTTATTAATATAACAAAGAAGATCACTTTAACTATATTCACAGTGTTTTCACAGCAGAAGCCATTTACTCCCAAATTACCATTTGATCATTACATTAACCCAAAATTGACAAAACTCACTTATAAATCTATGTGCAAGTTGCTTATCAAGAGATTTAAGGGCACGCAAGTATATCTCTTTCACTTTCTTTGGATCACCTCTTATTCTTTCAAATTTCACATACTCCATCCACACCTCAGTACTATCCTTGCCAAATTGCTCACATGCAAGTTCATAACATTTAACAACTCTCGATATTTGCACTTCTGGTTGAAGACATTCCAATGTAGCCATTTTTTGATGTAATTCACGACAAAATGGAGCTTTATCACAAATTGATTGATACACTTGACGAGCAGTGCTGATGTCTTTGGCCAACACTAACCACTCTAAATACATTAATTTCAATGGTGAAGCTACAGCAGGACCCTGCTTAATGCCATCTTCAAACACTTCCTTCACTTTATTCACATTTTTTGTCTGAAAATATTGAATTAACATCTTCCAAAGAGGAAGTGAGGTTTCATCATCAGAACTCAAGCATGCAACAGCATGTTTGAAAACAGCCATTGCAACATCTTCCTCATCCTCCGATAAATGAAAGCTCAACCTCATCTGCCACAATTCTATACTCGAAGAAAATCTTTCAGTTGCTGCATCCAGAACAAATGATAACTGCTCTCTCTGACCCGTGTGCATGCCAGCCCAATGAATATAATACTTTTCTTGCAATCGACCTTCTTCATGAGCTTTCTGAAGTGCAGAAAGTAACAAATTTTGTTTGTACTTTTTTAAGACAGATACATCCTGATTAAGCTCAATCAATGTGTCCAAATAAAGTCCCCACATACGTTCTGTTCCCAAATGCTGTAATCCACTTTGATATATTGTAATACAATGTCTAATTCTCATATACTGAATTTTTTCAGTTTCACTTTTCTGAGGTTTGGTATCATTTTCTTCACAAACTTCCATACTTTCTTCATCTGTACTAGAGGTTCTGTCCATAAAAAAGTGCAACCCTTCTAATTCACGTCGAGCTAGAGCATCCCAAGTTAACTCATCATTTGGAAACCATGAGAGTAAATCTTTCACCATTTTAGCTTGCAGTTTTTCTGTAAAGCTATAGTCCTTTGCAATGTTGAGAAGACCAATTAAAAAAGGAACATCAGGAATTTTCTTGGCAGCTGCTTCGTATATAAATTCTGCAATTCCACAGAAACTGGAAAGGTCAGACGGATCATCACATCTTAAAGTATGGCTAGAAAGTGAAGGTTCATGCATTGCTTCTTGCCACTGCAATGCACGAACTTGTAAAGAATGAGTTAATGGTCCCATAGAACTGTCACCTTGGTCAGGGGGCCCAGCAGAAACAGTTACAGGAGTACTGGATGAGGTAGCAGAGGCGGCTTGCTTTCCTTCTTGTTTATCTTCACTCCCCCTTGATTCTACTTGTTTACGTTTCATGTCAGCATAAATTAATTCCATTTGAAAAGCTGCTGTATGCAACACTTTAGAACGTGGATGCTGTCTCAAACCTCTTACAAGGAACTGGCATGCAGTTTCAATATTCTTGTTATCTTCATATTCCCATGTTGCCGCTAATTTCCAGAGACTTGGTTTATGGCTATGAGCAGCTAACATGCCAAGTAACATATTGCTCACACACACACTAAACACTTTAACCTGCTTACAAAACTTCATGTATGATAACCATATATAAATGTCATCATGATATTTAAATATAGCTTTTTCATATAATTTATTTACTCTACTAGCTATGGTCATGTCAATATCATTTTTCTTCTGGGAGAGGCCTAGTTTTTGTTTCCGGGACTTGACCAACTTCAACAAGTCAATTTCATAATGGATATACCGCACATAATCTTCCTTGTTTTTTGTCCGAGTTTGAATCTTGTGTTGGAAGTTTTTCCTCTGTTTTATTATATTTCTAATTTCGGTTTCATTGAATATACGGAGCCTCTCCAGCTGTTCTAGTTCAGGAACCATTTCCTCTGAACGAAAATCGACAAATTCAGCCATTATTGTGTTCTTCCTGAATCAGAGTAAAACCTGCTCAAAACATTCTTTCCTGGACAGCGAGGCACGTCAATTTATTCTCCAAACATTAAAGAGCACTCCGTCGCAGAGTTTACGGGAATTACATTCTATATCGAGTTAAAACTGACACTTACAATATCCTCAATGTACTACTTGCTCCAAATCACGTAACCAAACCAGACCAAACTGAACAACTGACGATGTTTACTACAGTGCACACCTTTGTGACTATTTAGTTATTCTGTGTCGTAATCAGTACTAACAAATGAATGTATACTTCAGGGGCAGCATCTTCATGCACATAACATTACATTGAGGCGTCACAGATGATCCTAGAACTGCCTAGAACCACCATACGGAAAGTTGAGGACTACCGACTTACGTCTTTGGTGTATACAGAATTCCAGAAAGTTGTTTTGCCACTCAAATACCATTTTGTTATTTTGACGACTATAGCAAATTATTGTACAACAAATTTTAATGAAAAATACAATAATACTAAAATTTATGAACAATATCTTATTAATAATAATTTATTTGTAACTAACCGTCGCGTACACGAATCCTGTATGCAGCCTTTGAGTCTTCCTTGGACGAAGTCATCTTTCGGTAAAATTACTACTGGTACTACTGCTTGTTACTGTGCTCAAAAAAATGAGCGCGTTTAGCTGAAGGACGGATTCGCGAAGTTCCCCAATTAGTTACCAGGAATTGTCGAATGAAAAATCGCCGCTTTGGTGGAAAAACACACAAGTCTTTAAAAAACGATACGAAAATGTACACATATGAAATCGTCTTTTAAAGTCCAATATGATAGGCCAAAATTTAGCGTAGGATTCCATTTAGGACCAAAGTTGATCTTATATTATCGTAATAAAAAATAAAGTAAAGACGAAGTGTGCTGTAATAAAGAAGCTTCTGTATATGCACTCGACTGTCCAAACAGCATCTTCATTATCTTGCACGGTTGAGGAGATACAGAGGTGTTAACACTTAATTTTTCCACCCTATCATGGTGACCCTGTATGATATACAGTACATAACAGTCTTGTTTGTAATGTACATGTAGAAAATTCATGGATTATTGCTTAGAAAATACTTATAATATTTTATTGAATTATTTACCACGAATGTATAATGAAAAATTAGAAAAAATATTAACTGTCTGTGACGTACAAAAATATATCAATTAATATAATTACTTGTGTTTTCCTAATCAATACATCACCAGAATAATACCATTTACTAATTTTTAGGCCATGGATATATGCTTGGAAATGCTCCACACAAAAAACATTAGACAAAATGTGAAAAATGGTTTAAAATCATAAAATAAAATAAAAATTGGTAGCTTCAATGTTGAATAATCAAAATTGTATTACTTTATTTGTCTACATGAACTAGAAAAACAAAAAACAAACTTATTTTTTTAAATAATTACTCCCACCCGTTTAAGGCCTTTACTTTTCCTTGCACCAATAGCTGTTCTCCTTTCAGTTTATATTAATGCATATCGACTTATCTCGCATGTTCTCAAATGATAGCTTCCACCTCATGAACTTCAGTGCACATTTTTATCACTAGCCGTGCACACACCATCATGGATAACACATGAGGTGAGAGTATTCTGCACCAATGTAGATTCTAGAATATACTGCATGTCAGTTTTCAATATTTTCTTTGCAATCTTACAGACTCAATAAAAAATTGATGAAAAAATTTATCCATTTATTGAAACGATTTACACCTAATACCTTTAATTTTTATGTTTTTAAAACAAATTAAATAGTTATTATTTTAATGTTTTAGTTTAACACTAAAAAAAAAAAAATGTTAAAAAAATAAATATAATGTACATAACAAACTAATACCCACCTACCCCTATGTAACACAGCGTAACACTGCCTCGAATCCCCCTCCCTTTCAGTAGCATTACATAATTTATGGATGACCCCTTACTCTAAGAAGGATTAAAAAAAATTCAAATTCTATTCTTAATTCTTTTATTAAAGGTATATATGGAGTATCATATAAAATTAATTTTAAGGTAATATGAACTAACAACACAATAATACATTTCCATGTCCAGAATCAGGAACGGAAAATGTTGGCAGTGAGTTGACTGTTAGATTAAAAAAAAAAAAAGAATGAGGCTCTTTTCATATTAATGTTAGTAAATTCTGCATGTCAAACAGCATAGAAATACATATTTCACAAACTACACATTTTACAAAAACAGCTAATATACAATATTACTGAACATGGGGATTTTCTTTGGAAAGTGTTATTTGTACCAAAAATATGAGACTAAACAAAATAAAGTACAATAATAATAAGCTAGTATAAACTTTCTGAAGAAAAGAAGAAAAAAAAAAATGTTTAACAAAGATGAAACATCAAAATAAAAAGAGAACAAAAAGATTGAAAGAAACCTGACATAATCAGTACGAATACTGAATATTCAAATGTAAAACAATGAAAATATTAAATGGCAAAGCCTGGTTCCACATCTTACTTAAAAAAGAAATATTTAAATACATATACTATATTTTTATGAAACAATAAATACAAGACAAAATACAATAGATACTAAAATACTGACTGAGTAACATTCAACATTTATCAAGATAATGGTAGCTTTCTGAAAACTTGAAATGGGCACTTCTCTCTGTTATAATTATGGCATGTAAGCTATGTAACTTATCTCAGGTTTTCTGTTTACTTCAGTAGCAATTTTTCGGTTCAATAGTTGCAATCTAACATTTTTTAATTAATACTTTGTAATGGAAGTTATTTTCCTGCAGTAAATGAGTAGAAGAAACAAACTTTCCTCAACTAGTTAATAATTTCTCACCTTGGGTGGAATATGTGAGGTATAGTACATGCCTTCATTTTCACACAAAATGAAAGATCTAAAAGCAAATGTTTATAGTGTATTAATGCACAGGTAATTAAAAAGAAAGAGTCAAAATTAGGACACAAGTTAAGCAAACAACAACAACAACCAACTGAATAGTTATAGCATTTATGTCAATTGACATTTGCTTGCAAGGCGAAGACACTTCACTCAAGTTTCTCAAGAGATACAAAGAGAATTATTATTTAAAGCGTAATGGAACGAACCCTAAAAATACGTTTTCTAACACATGTTGATAATGCAGTGGTAAAAAGACCACACAATGGCATACAAACTATAATTGTTCCTTTGACTAGAGAGGTGTCAAATGATACTGACATAAGTAGATCCCTACTCCACAGAGTATGTTCAAAAACACAATACAACTAATCTTTTCAGTGTCTGTGTAAAAATATACAGATCTGTAATACCCCATAAACAAAGTTCATATAAATCTGGATACAAAAATGGCAAACGACATTGAAATGTTCCTTGTACCAAAATACACTAGAGTCCTTAATGTATTGAGACCTGCACTGCAGGAAACTATTTTACATAATAAAATAACTATATATTCTGGCAGATACCTAAATGAAAAACATGCCATCTAAACATATTTACACAGTAAACATTGAGCAGTTTTGAATATCATATTGTAAATAATGCAGATTCACTTACTCAATGATATGTAATCTTTCTCTCATTCATTATTCAAAACTTTAAATCTGAAATGGAATGTTGTATCACAAAACCTATAGAGAAGTAAGTTTAGTAAAATTATTTTTCATTGACATAATGTTTGGAGTACAATAACTTTGGAAATGTTTGCAATCAGCAAAATCTAAAATAAAATGCATGTATTTCATGCACAAAATATCCAATACACAAAGACATGAAGATAATAGAAGGGCATTCAGTCATCTCACTATTTTCAAAATTCAGTCAAAATTCTTATAATTGATTATTTTATAAAAAACTGTGATTTATCAATTTAACCAATAAAAAAGCAATACTACTACATAATTGTGCATTGATTTTTGTAACAGAGTTATAGGGAAATAAAAGGAGAAAGGACTTCTTTTTCCCAAAACTTAAGAGAATTTACAGTGATCTGACCTGGGAATGTTTAAAATTTACCTTCCTTAATGTATTAAGAGATTATTATCTTTAAAGATTAACATAAGAATAATTTCAATAAAATGATCAAGGAAATTACATTAAATACAATATCATAATAGATCAGAACAGCACCTTTTTCCAAACAATTGCACTGCTCAGTGCTCTGATTAGGTAAAAAATGTACAGCAAATGGGCTTTACTGTACCATTGACATACTATATAGATTGATATCCCTGACAAGTTAAGAACAAAATAGCAAGTTCATCCTCATTACAGCAAAGGGATACTTGATATTTACTAAGAACATGTAAAGTTATTTAATTTAAATGTGATGTAATTTAATTTAAAAATATATTAACTATGACCTTGCATAAACATGGTCATCAAATGCAAAAAAACAACAACAAAAAAACATGTTAATAGGCAAAGACAAAAGAAGGGGGATATCAACACAACGGATTAAAACAAAAAGAAAGTGTAACTGTACAGTACCCCCTTTTGCCCTTTACATTTTTGCTTTTCGTTCTATCAGAAAACCTTATGTTAATTTTCTGTTTAAAACTAATATCAGAAAACCAATTTCAAAAATTAGATTCTGAATCTTAATTTGACTTATCAATCCTGTTATCTACAATTCCCAACACATCTACGCACTAATCAAAACAATACTGTCCAGCACTCTTGCAGATCAATATAAAACAGAACTCATCTCTTCAATGTCTAGTTGTCAGCACATCATGAGCACACACAAACGTGGTTAAACGAGCCTTTATCAAAGGCCATCAATTTCACCACAAGATTCAGCAACGCCATTAGATAAACTTGAAGCACTATTTTCTATTACTGAAAGTTGACGGCTGTATTCAGTATACAATCTCTGCAAGTTCAGATTTGCACTCATAAACCGAAGAATTTCCTTTAAAATTTCATGTTTTGAATGACCCTGTAAAAGATGCAAATAATCCATCCATTTCACTGTTATAAAACATGTATCATAATTTCAAACATTACAATGTTGAATGAAAATGATGTAAAAGAACTTATTACGAAAAGTCTTGGAGACAAAGCTTTAACCCATTTTCCGGGCAACCAATTTTAATGACGCAACTAGGCAAGTGGGGTCCCAGACCCAGGACTGTCTGCGACGGAATTATGAATACATGTGTAACTTTTTGACTTAGATAAGGAAGCAGAATTCTCTAATATAATTGTTTAATATAACATAACTTCTCAAAATAATTTACATATTTTTACTAAACCATTATTCACTTATTTCAGATCGCACACACTGACACCCTCATTATGCTCATTACAGACAGCATTTGAACAGATACTACATCTCTGCTTCCTATTTGTTTCCCAAGGGCATAAATTAATAATTTTTTTGGCATTGTTATAAAGTTTCTGAGTTATGGAAAATCCTTTTCCCCCAAAAACGTGTGTGACTAACAGGCGACACTTGTTATTCAATTGTTTGACAGTCTTCTTATATTTTGTGTACAAACAAAATTCTTTGCAATATTAAAATTTAAAAAATTGTAATATCTCATGTTTTTTAACGTTCAGTCAGGGTCAGCAACATTAGTACTGCTGTGCAGTATTTCTGTAAAACCTGTACCGGACACGACTACCACAACTCACTCTTTTAACTCTCCTACATCCTAATCCGAGTAACACTGTCTATGAAAGCATTGATCTTAGAATTGCTCATATGTAGTGTCAGAATCTTCCCAATGAAATGATGTTGCACAACCTGACATCCGTCCATCGCTTGGGCACGAAGCCAACGTCAAATAATTGACCAAACAAACCCAGAAAATGCAATATTTACAGGCAGATTAAGAGACCTGGGTCCAATGGACCTTGTTTGCCCGGTTGCGGCTGAAAAAAGATAAATTTTTTTAAATTTATTATTCAGTAACGTTTTTTTTAAATTATTGGGGGAACATTTAAATAACATTATAAAGAACAAAGTCACAAAAAACTGTCGTAATACCTTGGATGGTTTTCATTTAAAATCTTAAAAATTTTGCTTCTGGGTTCAATGGACTCTGGTTGCCCGGATAAGGGTTTAAAGAAAGAGGTGGATTAGAACATGGGTAACAGAATAAAAACACAGATGTTAAATATTATCGTGAAAGCAAGAAATAAAAACAGTAGCACAAGTATTAGATGAAATCCAATTCGATCAGAGGAAAAATATTTCTAAAAACTAAAAATTTGCAACTTGAAATAAACATGTACAGAAACAACAGCAACAAATATGCATAAAGTGGAGGGATGAAAAATTGCCTAAACTGAGAAGATATAATCAGCTTTTTCTCCCATTCTTCAGTTGTCGTTTTAAAAATTAAATTCTGAAATATTATTAGGTTAGGATATGGTCACCCATTATCAATTACTTGCATCTTTTCTTCATACGAACATGAAGAAAAGCAATTATTTAAAAACTTTTGTACAACTTTTTCATTATTTACATCAAAAGAAAATGAATTTCACAAGTATCACCAAAGTCTGCAACATGCAACAGAGAATATCACAATCATGGATGCTTGCAGGCTGACCAGCAAGCTGTTGAATCTAGATCCAAAGCCTTGGCATGCTTTATCCTTGAGTAGGGAATCATTGCATGCTTGCGCTACTGCTTACCGATATGTCCTGAAGACCTTGGAGCATTCGCCCATGGCCTACCCTGAGTTCACACACTGCCTTTGCAATGGTGCTGATCACACGAAAAAAATTTAAAAAGAACTAAATGAAATTCTCCCCCCTGGGCGTTGACACACGACTTGCACACCCAATGGAAACGTCACTGACAGACATTATGATGCAGGCAGAGAAAAAGTGATGAATTCCGCTGCTAAAGTATGTGTGTGAATGGCTACTTTTATGTTCTGCTCACAAAATTAATATTTGAATTAAATAAACCAAGATAAATTATCAGAAAGAATAATCAATTTATAGATTAATCTGTGTAAAAATACAGTAATCTATTTCAATATTTCGATTCATCTTATAAAATAATCAGATACTGAACATAATTATATTACCCATTCCTTGTTTTTGTTGTAATTATTATTGGATACACACAGGCAATGAATGAATTTTTGACATAAAAATTTTTTTTGTTTAAAATCAATGACAAGTTGCTGACATATTACTATTGATTACAGAAAGATAAAACTAGGAAAGTTCACATCACATAGCATCATCTGTATTAATTATTGTTCCATGGCAAATATACATTTTTCTTAATGTAATTAATAGCAAAAGGATTTTTACTACCCACAAATCTCGCAACTTGGGTACAGTGACAATGCCATGTACTGTTATGCTAGTTTAATAAGAATTTATCCAAAACCCTTTTTGGTGTCATGGATTCCCAACAAAGAACAATGATAAAAATTAAGAGATAAAATTCTTGTTTGTTTGTAATACTTAATTATATGACATGAACAAACCATTATACTATCCTGCCAACTTTTACTCAATTTGGCATGGGCATGAGCAGGTCCGAGGAGATCATCACACAATAATCTTAAGCGAGACTCCATTCCTGCAAAAAGAGAAAACATTAAAGAAAATTTTTCAAGCACCTAAAAATACATTTAAGGTGTCAAGTATAGAGCACAACAGAGATGGCAAACACATTTCTGCTACAGGATGAAGACATAAAACATGAGCAGACTGCACTTTTTCGCCATATGAAGATTTTTGCTTAGTAAAGAAAGTGTAATGCTGCAGGAAAATTATCGATATTTCAGAGTCCTGGTAGTGAAAATGTGGAGAAATGTTATTCCTATATGAAGTAAATTACTTTCTCCAATGTATTGTGTACTCAGAATGCATGTTTTGTGGGTCCACTGAAAAGTTGGTGACAGTCCGATCCGACTGCCATGGACAACAGTACTGCTTAAGACGTTTACACATTGAAGTCTCAAAATTTTCAATTTTTTTTTCTTTTTTTTTCCCACAGAGCAAACGACACTTAAAAAATGGTACAAGTCAGATTTTCACTGAATTCTCTCAGATTTAAAAAATTGTGAAAATAACAAATTAAGCTAGTAAGTATGTGCTTTTGTATCACTATTGGTTTTTGTGTTGTTTTATCATCTGCTTTTAATTTAGGGATTAACAAACAATTTTTTTTTTAAACAGTATGGAAAATAATAATACTGTAGTTGGTTTATTTCTAGTTTATTTACAAGTTAGCATTAAATTTTAAATAACAATGATTTGTTGAAATCCACAAATTAGTTCCTGGTTTTCAATATAGCATGTAGGGTCATGGTAAATCAGGTGTTGTAAGTAGCTCATTCACTGATGATTTAGCCTTCCAGGTGTTCAATATAATTAGATATAAGAATGCAAATTAAAATAATAATGTTGTCTTTCATATTTTTCTGCAGTATTTTTGATACCACAAAAAAACGATTAAAATAAGCCCTGTGCTTTGTATTAATTGCATTTACGAATGAGTTCTCATATTGGAATTAGCATGCGATCATGCATGTGCATCTGCATGTGCATGCGCACCCGAATTTGTTTTGATAAAAAACAAGACTGACATTAACTGACATTAAGAGTAATTTATTGATCGTTTTTGACGATGTTTTAGGTCAGCAAAATCTGCCCTATTTATTATATTTACCTATCCTTGGTGTACTATATAAATGAGCTGAATATGATCGGTAAATTAAGATAGTTTTTTATTCAAAAGGCTTTGGTCGAATGTGTCAAGTTACTAATTATGTAGAATGACATACTCTAAATTGAGCTCATGCTGCAATACGATTTTATTCGTTTTAATGATTACGCAGGCACACACCATAAAAGTTTGAGAAGTGGTTTTCTGTGTATTACCATATGCTGAATTCAAATCTGAAGTCAGGATTAAGCCATCATCCTCCAAATTTTTTCCCCCAAAAAACATTGTGACATTGTATTTTTTGTTTTGGTTTTCGGGGTTTGTTGTCATATCCATAGACTTGACACATGGTTCTCTTTTTGAAGATGCATTGAATCTGAATCTGGAGCCCCAATTGCACCACTACCCTCCAGTTTCTTTTAAATCGCAAAAAATTTGCGAACAGTGCAATTTAGAATCTACGATTTCATGGTGGTTTTTCACAAAAACAACTGAAGGATGGTGGAATAATTCTGGCTTTAGATTCGGATTTAGTGTGTTGACACACGTAGAGAAACATATGTCAAGTCTTTAAACCTGACAATAACCTCTGAAAACATAAAAAAAGTATAATTTCATGGTGGTTTTTCCCCGATTTAAAAAAAACGGCAGGTGGTAGCAAAATTCCGGCTTCAGAGCATTGAAATACATAGAGAAGCAAGTGTCAAGTCTTTGGGTCTGACAATAATTCCAGAGAATAAAAAATACATGTCACAATGGTTTCTTGAGATTTAACAACGACAACAACAAAAAACGTCTGACAACTCTTCTTCTTCCTTTTTTTTTTGCATGTGTAGTTACTGAAACAATAAGGGGTGGGTAATTTCTCTCCCCCCCCTGTGGATCCACACCAACTCATACACATCCTATATATTATTTCTATTGGAGAGATCCCTTTTCCACCTGTAGAACTAAGTAATTTAGGAAGAGTATGATATCATTTAAAAGGTGTTTCTATGGACAACAGTCAATGATGACTGATATTGGCAGAGACCATCCATATTCAGTAATTACTAATTAAAATATGATTGTGTAACTCAAAATACACACAATCATGCAACATGCTTTCCCATGCTGCAGCATAACTGAAATGAGAGTAAAGTTTTTATGCCCTCATCTTCAAAATTAGACCATTTGGATGTTTTATAACATTGTGGTATCTGCGCCAGGCTGGAGTTGGATTCAAGCATGAGGTTATTTTCACTTTTAAAACAATGATTCAAAAGGTGCTATTTTTTAGAGACTGCAATTTTTGGGAGAAAATCTTTTGCATCCTTTTAATCCATTTTGGGGATTCTCATTCATCTGGATACTCTAGCTAATGCGAACTTCCCATTTCATCTGCCCCACGAGACACTGTGTAACTTTAAAAAATGTATTTTGTAATAAAAAAGAAATACAATACAAATTTCTGAATTTCCAGTTTCATTTTGAGATTAACATGTGCAGGAACATGTAAATATGTGGGGAATACATGGAGGCACATGTAAATTAGTGTGAAACTATACAGTGAATATGTGAGGAAACATAGGGAATCATAAAGGGTTATTGAAGTGTACATGTAGAGTTCATGCAAGGAAACATGCAGAAGATTGTGTAGGGAGTATAAACAGGTAACGTATGGTGAACATGCGTGAAACAATTTGAGGAATAAACATGGTGAGGAAAACAAAAGGAGAAAATGTGGGTTTTTCAACTGATTAGTGATTCTGGGCAAGTCAAGGGCTAAGGTTGTTAGTCCGTAAGTGTAGTGCATGTTTTCACTGCAGGAGGCAGAAGTGATCCCCTCGCTGACTGGCAAGATCTGGCACCAACCTAACACCGGCTAACACGGTTTACCCCATACAGCTACTTCCACCAGTGGGGCACTGCCCCAGTTAGGACAAGCTCTAAGCTCCCGACCGGACTCCTGGCATGTGTGGTTGCGAAGTGCACGTATGTGTGTATAAGTGTGTGAAAGTAAGGGAGGAGGATAAAACAAGGAAGAGGGCAGAAAGATCGCATGTGGTTCATGGCCTGTTTGTTAGGGGACTAATTCAGCATTCACCGCTTACTGATTGGAGAAACCGTGAAAAAATACCGTTCAGATCAGCTGGCTGCTAGAATTCTTCTCCAGACAGTGACTGAAATCAACCTAGCTATGTAGCTAGTGTTGAAAATTCTGCCACCATCAGAACTTGAATGTAGAACCTCCTGGTCAGAGGTATTGCAGTGACATTACTTGATGCCCTGAGCCACCTCTCCCAGTGGGAAATGTGAGGCGTGGGGTCATGCATGGAACATGAGGGGGGGGAATAAAGCTTGACTTATGTTTCTTAAACAGTATTCTACAAAATAAGATAATTTTGAATCTTATGTTGCATTTTTGGAGATACGTTCTTCCTACTGTATTCTGTATGATATGCGGATGACTAAAAACAAGCACACTCAAAATTTATGTCAAAGTGCATTGGTGCATCAATAAGCCTGTTGTCATTGACCTATAATGCTTTAGCTATAGTTAAAGGATGTTTGTTCATGTTTTGGATACAGTATAAAGTTATTTTCATCCTAAAACAATAAATTATGAAGTGCATATTCACATACATGTGTATAATCTTAAGAATCAAAGAAGTAAACATTTTTAATTTGTGATGATTTAGCGTACCTTCTTGGATGAGAGCACGAGCAAAGGCAATCAAATAATTTCTATATTCTTTGCTTGATTCTAATGCTTGACATGCTAATAGCTGTTGCTCTAAGTATGTCACAGTACACATAGGTCCAATTTGTGAAACTGCTGGCTGCCTTAAACTCATTGTCACTGGAGAGCTGCAAAGGCATACAAAATTAGTTTCCTACACAAAATAAAGATAAAAAATTCTTAGCCAATCTATAGTTAATTATATAATGTGACCTTTTCAAATGAGATTGAATGGTAGCCAATGGATACGAAGAAATATCTGACACACTCAGAAATTGAGAAACGTTCTTTTGAGATGCACATTTATGTACAGGATCGTTAGCATCACCAATTAGCAACCTGAAAAATATAATATGTTTAAAAAATAAATTCTAGGTAAAGTATTGAGAACAGAGCACAACAGCTGATTGCATAAAATATTGCTATTGTAAATAAGAAACTTACCAAGACGCAAGATCTACCGAGTACATGTATGCTTTCCCAGTTGATAAAGATACAAGAGGACAGCCATTCTCAGTCAAAAGAGAGCTTTTTATGGTTACTTCTCTACCTAAATAGGACCAACAATTAAATGAGACATTTTTTATATTTCTCACAAACTCATATACTTCTAGGGATGTTGTGAATTTTAAATTTCCAAATTCTCTTTTTTAGGTTTCTCAATACTGAAATTTTGATTTTTCAAGTTAGATTTTTGTAGACTATTCTTCTACAGTACAACAACTATTCAGTGCGTAAGACCAGAAAACATATTTTATTTCAACTCTTTTAATTTACAAAAATTAGACACTTATGTCCATACTATGATCAATGTACGTTTAATTCATGCCTCATCAAATTATGTGTCATTCAATGATGTCAAAATAAAAATTATGTGGAATTTCAGATTTTTTTATACAATGAATACATGAACCTATTTTGAAATAGTGAATTAAACTGGTGATTGAAAATGTTTAAGTAATAAAGAAAATTTAAACATTTTAATAATATTATTTTGTCATTTTCAATACCTGTATTATTCATTAAATAATTTTAAAATTCTGTAATTTCCCAGATCATAGTTTTTCCTGACATTTGTGATGTTAGAAGAGTGCAACAAGCATAACATTTATAAGTAATGAAAGAGACATTTCACTAAGTTGTAGGTTATTTGAATTAATTAAAATTAATTCAAATAACTCCACTCTGCTTTGATATGCAGAGAAATGAGATTACAAGTAGTTTTTAAACAATTCAATTCCAGTTAATAATAAATCAATAGTTCAACATAAAAGGAAATAATTATATGCTAACCTAGTTGGCCTTGCATAATTGGAAGTAGGCTTTCATTTTTAATCAAACATTTAAGCTTCCCACCAACATCCCAAACACATAATCCACCAGCCACAGTTACAGCCAAGATGAAAAGTCTTGGTCCCACTGATATCCGTGAAGCAGGAGCAGGAAGAACAAGAGGCGAAAGTAATCGCTGACCTGAAAAAAAACAAAGCATTATAATACTATCAAAAGTTCCCATTTAAAATCTAATGAAGAGTGAAATCTTAAAATCTAATTTGAAAAGATAGGAAGAAGAGAAGATAATTAGAAAAGGAAAGGAAGAAAATAAAATAGGTAGGAATAAAAATTCTTAGCTTCCACTGGTGCCTCTCAATATCCCCCACTACGTTCTTCATTTTTAATGTGCATCCTTGCAGAGACATAGAAAAAAGCAAAGGAGTCGATGTAATAACCTTCCTTCTTCTTAACATGATCTAATATTGCAAACTTTTCCTTTCGTATTTTTATTACATAATTTTTTAATTTTATGTGAGATTAAGTTCTGAGATTTCACTTAACATGTATCTATTGCACAAATTTAGCAACTATTAACAATGGCTATTAAATTTTAATCAAAATATCAAATACAAATTAAACTAATGACATCTTCATTTTATCATCATCACCATCAACATTTCAAAATATGTCTTTCTTTCATTTTATAAATCTATTATATCATTTCATAATACACAAATGAGCTGTAGAAGCCTTATACCTTCTAATAACTTAATGCAATAAAATTTTGAGTTGACATTGCTGTGGAAAATTTAACAAAATGGTAGAAAATCAAACAGCGAGACATTTTTTGCCATGGAGCAAGACATGGAGTAGAAGCATTTTTTAAAGCAATGTTTAGCTTGGCTGAGATGTCCTTCCCTCAAGTTTTATAATAGGCAAGTTTTAAATATTTATTTTGCTACACTATCATAAAATTAAGTGGCCAAATAAGGTACAAGAAAATAAATAATAACTAGTTAAATCCATAAATGCATTTCACATCTGTACATAGTAGAACCCAACTTTGAAGGAGACAATCCAAGCTTCAGAGGAGAGAAAAATGTAATACAGGGCTCGCGAAGGACGCATTTCATAAGTTAAATACAAAATTCTTTAGGAACACTGAAACACTTTTTCGGATGAAGGACTCCTCGCTTTCAAGATATACATGGTGGCAATGGGCACCATAGACGAGAGTGGACTTCCACTTAGTCAAACTAGGGAGCTGACTAAGGGGCCCAATTTCAGAGGGGGGTCCCAGACGATAGTAAAAACATATAATATGCCTCTAATTTTTAAACAAAAGTTATTTTAGTCCATAAATATGAAAAAGCAACTAATTTTACAAATAAATTATTATTATTATTAATTATAATTAAATTTTTAGAGCTATTTATGCACAGATGTTATAAGGGTTCTAATGACTGAGCAGCAGTTTCATTCATTAAAATATTTCGATTACTGAAGTAATGGAAATTGTAACACCAAATTATTCAACAAATAATAATATTGTTTGTGCTAGATGTTCAGAGAATGGGCAATACAGTGAACACAGCGGAATTCATCACCTGAACATGCACTGATTGAAAGCAAATTTGATATCTTAGTTCTGCATTATCTTTCAAGACATGCAAACACCATTTACCACGAGACATTTGAGTTGAATTTGTTGCTTCTCCTTGGTTAGCCAGCTGACCCCACAAAGCTGCTTACCACATTTCATTTACACATCACAATTGTGAAAAGTCAACAAAGCTCAAAGCATGGGAGGGGGAGGGGGAGGGGACGCTCTCCTTCTAACATTACACTTCAGCTTCTTAGCACTCTAAAGTTGCATTTAAGAATTTTGAATGATGGAAAGGCCATCCAATTCATTCTATGAGATTTGGCACCATAATAAGTCAAGGCAACCTTGGTCATTGACACCTTGTATTTCGTATCCAATAAGAGATTTTTGTGGTAGCTAAAAGTGGGGAAAAGGCACAGGTTTAGGATGGATTCACAGCTTATTAAGGTTAGTAAATGGTGACTGATGAGCTGAGCTTTGTGCCTTACATAACCAATGCAGGACCATCTGTGTTGAGAGTGCAGATAAACACCATTTTGGTCCTCCAGGTACTCAGTTTTTGAAACCACTCCATGCATGAGGCAGTGTTTCCGACATTATTAAATTTTGAATTTGGAAACAAAGTTAATTTTGTGTTAATTTTCCTGTTAATCACCTCTAATCCTCCAGCCATTATGTTTTCTATACATTGTCAATGAACATGTTTCCATTAAGAACGTTATGATAGTTTATTGGTACAGCCGGTGAAGAATGTCCCTCACTGTGCCTTGCATTCAGTATACAGCCTGCTTAAGTTGCATATGTGTGCTTAATGTAAGTTATAATGTTTTCCAACACAACTATATTGTGTATTAGTATACTAGTTTTAGTATTAGTAAGTGTTGGTCCTCTGTGAATTTTCTGTGGGGATGGTACTTGTGTTCTTGCAGAATGTGCAGTAATTATGAAGGAAAAATCATTTACGCATAACATAAAATGTATTTTTATTTGCTGACTTATTGTTAAATTTTATAATATTAACAATTGATACATTTAATGACTTTCATAACAATAGAAAATTCGTAAACACTATTTTTGAATATGTATCAGTGGCTTCTAAAGGGGGCTTAAGCCTCAAGTCCCCCTTGGGTCAACCACTACTAATTAAATATTTTTTATTGGAATTTTTTCATAAATTACAGGAACATTAAATTTTATGCATGTTACAAACCAATAGCATATTCTTAGAATCTGACGAGTAGTTTTCATTGTTGCTACTTTTATTCTTAAGGGGCACATTTTAAATTTTGTTAGAAGTTTAGAACAAAAACAATTATGATCCCTTTTGTAATATAAAATGCACAGGAAGGATTTTACAGGCTGGCTAACCCCAGACAGGTAAATGCATAAACTGAATTCAAGGTACTGCAAGAGTTTCTCCACAGCACTTTGCCTTTGCTTCATGCAATGCCACATCACGAAAGTAGAATAAATTTCCATGAAGGGCATTTGCAGAAACATATCACACGTATATTGTCTTTTTTTATATGTATGAACTGGTAGATTGGCAAATTTTGTCCTTTAGGTATGGTCTAAAATCATCTTGTAGTAATTTTCAACAACCATCTAATTTTTTTCGAACAGATGAATCTAACCAAAGAAAATTTTGTAATTGTCCCCTACTACAGACAGCACCAAAACAGAAAATGAGTAAAATACTTAGATTGATAAAGCACATTTAATTTATTATTAACCATAACCCATTATTATTATTATCCCAACATTGCACTAATGCAACATTTAATATAGACATTTTTAAACAATAATTTGAAATAAATTTGAATTGAATTAAACTGAATTCATGCCATACTTTACGTGGCGAGGCTCACTCTATGAGGCCTGCTCTTCCGTTTGACCTTTCCGCTCCTTTCACCCACTAGCGGAGGCGGAAGTATTTCTTGGACAAAGAAACAGGCGATTTGAATTTAGCTCAGGCTTCATTTAGGCTTGAGGTTCTTTAACATGCAGTAAATCTACTAACATGGGACAGCTGGCTTTATTTCCCCTGCAAAGGAAGGCGTACGAAGGATTTCTTCGCCCTAATAATCCACGGCTTCAGTTTGTGGGTTTGAACTCGCAAACTTAAGTACAACAGTCCGATACACTAACTGTTACACCATCACTGCTGCACCAATATAAATTTGTTCTATATAACTACAACACTAAGAAGAAACACCTATTTATCAGCTTTTGCACTTTTCATTCATATTCGAGCATAAATTTGGCTTTGTTGAATTTGGAAACTTGGAAATAATGTAATGGATTGTGCTACCGATATTCAATTTTTAATTTAACTATTACACAATACCTACTTTTACTGAATATTACTCGACAAACTTTCTTGAACCTTTGTTTATTGCTTCAGAATATTTATTTTTGTTGATAAGACCTTAAATAACTTATTGATAATTTAAAATAATGTTGTGCTTACGCAATGTAATGATATAATTATCTTATCTTGGAGATAGTGCCTTCTTCTGCATTGTTGCATTTTTGTATAAACAATGCTTCTAAGCATAATTGTTTATCTTCCACAAAAATTCTGCTTATTTCGGGAATGATAGAAGAGAATAAAGGCCCCTATCAACTGCTGAACTAATTTCTACAGGAAGATGTTGATGATATTTCTGCAAACATGATTGATGCTGTGCACTTTCTCCTAATGCTAATGAAATGACAGATACAGAAAATATAGATGATCTTCTGGAGAAAAAAGATGTAGAAGAAGAAATATTAATTGACTGAGAAATTGTCAGCTCGTGGAGAATTTATAACATTGTGAATGAAGAAAAGATGTTGCAACTATAATTTTGCTTGTACTTAGCCACGACTAATGAAATTTGGAGACTGTGCAAAAAAAAAAGTGAATGCAATAATGATTCAATCACAGGAGACTGAAAAATCCCATTTTGGAGGACCCACTAATACTTGCCTACCTAAAGAAGTACATTGTGATGATGTACGGATACCAACAGAGGGGGCTCCGGGCATACATTTTTCACTGCAGCGCCTCTGACCATGAGGTCCTAGTTTTCGAGTCATGAAAATGGAAAGATTTTCAACACTAGGAACCTAGGTCAAGTTCAGCCGCCGTCTGGTGGCTGGGTGCTCTCATCAGTGATTTTTCTTAGTTTCTACACGAAAATGCCAGGCCAATGCCAGAGAAGTACCTCAACAATTAGGCCACATACCATGATCATTCCTTTCTCATCTTTGTCCTATCCTCACCTGTTACACTTACACACACTGCAATATCACACTTGCTGGGAGACCGGTCGGGGCCTTAGAGCTGGTCAGTGTTGGATCTCGCCATCACTACACTTCCCATGCTCAAAAACATGCACTACAATTACGAGACTAAAGAACTCAGCAGTTGATAGCATCAGTCAATCAATCATGTAGAGCACATGATTATAAAGGGAAAAAAACAAAGCCAGAAGGAGGTGCAGATTGTGCAAAAGTTCTGCAATTTACAAATGTAAAAATTGCAATGTACATTTCCATTCAAACTGTTTTCAGTCGTCTCATGTCAAGATGAACTGATATATCCCAAGGTCCCAAAGTTGCAAACACACAAACATTTTGTTGTACACTGACTAATGGTTAAAAAAAAATTATGAGTTATTTATCCTTTCTAGTGTAATATTACAGTAAATACATACAGTAAAACTTTGCTTATACGTTTTTTCAGGGGACTGAAGGAAAAAAATGTATAAGTGAGAAAAACGCATAACTGAAATTGAATATAATGGGCAAAATAAAAACTCAATTTTATTACTCTACCATTTTATTAGAAAAGATATTACCAAAAGAGAATAATTCAATATGCAGTTTAAAAAAGGACTGATGAAGTCAGTGGCCCGGGAGCTGATTTTGCACTAACACCTCATGGGCCCACGCAGTATTGACCAGTCAGCTATTCTGAGTCGAGCTTCTATATTACAAGTTTCATTAACAAGTCGCCTCAGAGACCAAGAGTTCGCTCCACAGGAGCGCTCTGAAGAGTGCCAACTCGAGGAAAATTCCGGGCGCTTGGCACAAGTTGCCTTGCGCCTTACCCGTCACCTCTGCAGGAACATTTCAACGTTATACAGTCTTAAAGAGATTTTTATTATGAACGTATAAATGTGAAAAATGTATAAACGTAAAACACATATCTGAAATAATTTAACATGGGAATTATAGGAATTTATCTGGGACTTGGCAAAAAAAACAACGTATAAATGTGAGAAATGTATACGTACGAAACATATAAAAGAAGTTTCACTATAATATTATTAAAAAAATATTATTTCAATGCTTGGTCCTTAATGGGTTAAATATAGTACAAGTTTGCTGCCATATTTTAGGACTCAGAGCATAAAAATTCTGTATTAACTAATGACGTTTACAATAGCAAGTGAAAACAGCAATGCTACCAGGATAATTAAGAAATCTTTGGGAGTAGTATAATCATATCACAGCACACTGCACTACAGAAATTAGATTGGGTATAAAAATTCCAAAGTAATTACTTATGTTACCCTGATTAAAACACTCATTCCTTTGAATACATTAAACAATACACAAACTCTTCTAACCTGTGACAGTATCAAGCACGTGTAGAGTAGAATCTTGACAAACTACAACTATAATTTGTTGATTAGCAGCTGCACCACATGCATTACATCCTAATACAACTTCCCACGAGGCTCTCAAGTCATCTTCCACAGAAGATGGCATACAAGCAGAAGACGATGATGAAAATACAGGTCCAGGGTACACACGAACTTTTGTAAGAGGACCATATTGACTAGTCAGGGCACTGTTCTCCACTTCCAATCGGCACTTTGTCCGTGGCCCAGAACCACCAGCAATCTGCAGAAATAAACAAATCAAGATATAAACATTGCTCTTTCAATGCTGATGAGATGATTGTACTGGACCTTTTAATAAACTACAGTAATATCTTACCGATACTCATTTCTTATAAAGATATTGTCTACATAAATTGTTGAGCAGCTTGAGATAGAGAGACACACAGACAATAAAAAGAGACAGAGACAAAGGGAGAGAGAGCAGAGGGACAGGAGCGAGGAGAGAGGATGACTGACGACCAGTCAACCCTTTGGCAATGCTGGCTGGTTCAAATCTCTTTTAGCAACATGATCCATTACCCAGACCAGAAGAACAATAACAGAAATGAATAGATGGATAGTTTTAGGATCTTCTGACTGTGCAGAAGTAGGTCATACACTGTCATTTCACGCTTTTCAAATACACTCTCTTGATACAATTAGTGAAATAAGGAACTAACCCACAAAACTCAAAACATAGATTTATTGTCATATTCAATGTGTTCAAATCAAATCTACTCATGTGTGTTAGTTCTCCCTCTAAATGGATGCCACGATTGGTTTAATTAGATTATTTCCTCCCCCTCTATTTTTGCTGCAAGTTTAAGTTTACTTATTATGAATAATTTTAACACATATTCTTACCCTATAAACTCCTTTGTTTGATGTCATACCAAGAGGTGGCAACATTAAAATTGGCCGAGGCTGATCATCGATGGCAGGCATCACAGGTTGCAGAACTGAACTCTGCAGTTTGCTAGTTACAACTGAACTCTGACCAAAACCTTTGTCTTCTATGTTCAGCCTTGCTCTCTTAGGAGACTGAATTTTACTTCCTATTTTAGTCTCCTTTTCAAGTTTACGTTTGAGGGTAATTTTCTGAGCATCTGTTTTTCTGTGGAACAAGAAAACATCAAAACCTCTGACCATGAACAAAGTCAGAAATATATTAAAACAAAACTTACATTTCTGGAATACTGCTACTCCAGGATTTTTCATTTTCTTTTCTCTGGGGAGCTTTTATTGTTACACTTGTACCTGCTATAGATACTTCAGCAATTGAACTTGAAGAGGCATTATTCTCTGTGCTCATTCTGCAATTAACAAATAACTCTAACAAATAACTAACACAAAACAAATTCTATGATAAGTAAATATTCAATTTACTCACAAAAATTCCATTTTGGCACTAACCGAATTCAAAATTGGATGGATGAATTGTAAAACTACACTATTCATATTTTGTGTCATTCACATCTCATACACTAAGGTGTATTCATGAGGACCTATGTACGGCACTAGTTCTTCATTCCTTTCTTTAGAAAGGATTTTCAAAATCTACTTAACTTATCATTTAAGAGACTATTCACATTGAATAACAAAATCATATATTATTAAATGAAAAGAAATGAAATGTCTGAATTAATTATGTTCAACTTTCGTAGTCATGTTGAAGAATTAAATAAGGAATTAGTACCTACACACTACATTACTTGCCTGAGTGAGACAACTTGCCAACTAAACCAAAGTCTTAGTGAGTCTTCGAATTTTTGCATGCGCATTACCTCTTAGATTGTGGACTTGTTGCTTGCACTGTTGTACTTCCTCCTGCTGCAGTAGTTTCCTTAGTAGGCGTGGTCTTTTCTGATGATCGACTCACATTAGGATCCACAACATCATCTCTTCGTTTAATAAGAATAGTAGATCGACTTTCTGAGGAGCTAGTAAATGCCGGTGTTTGCGTACTTCCTCCTGACCCAAAGGGTGCAGGGCCATCCCTGAAAAAGTATGTGTGGGATATAAATAGTTGTGGTAACTCACAATTATAACATTATTATCACAGACCACTCAGACCGTCTCAAGGAGACCTGCACATTACGAAGTAAACATTTTGCAGCAACCTCCAAAAGCATTGCGGAAAGCACAATAGGAACAATAAACGTACTGGCCCAACAAAATTTTTCGGAAGAGTACCAACGAGAACCACGCTAGATGTACCTGCCAGTCATTACTACATCAACAAGCTCAAGAATGTAACAACAGTGACATGGAGCCCGACTGATGTAAAGGCACAGCTCTGAAAGGGAGTGATGACTGTAACTTGAGTACCCACCTAGACTCTGAGCATGTGTGTGTGTGTGTGGATGGTGTTTGCATGTGAACACATGTGAAGGGGGCATGCATGTATGCACATACTGTAACAGTTTTGTTATAGTGCATTCTGTACAGTGATTTATTCAGAGATGTGACTTTTGAAGAAAAAATAAATTACTACTATTCCAGACTGTCGAAATAATTGTAGATTTGCATCACAAGTGCCTTATTTAAATTGATTAGGACTTTTTCAAGTGACGACTGAAGTAATAGTACAGCAGAAATTGCAATATTGCAACATTGTGTATCAGTTCCCAACACAAGAAATTAACAGCACTTGTAGCACCACTAGTTCAAAAGGGATTTAATGTTATGATTTTAAATAGCACCGTAAAGTTGATTCACCACACAGCACAATGGATGCTATTGTGAGTGAAATCATCATAATTGAAACAAAAGTAGTAAGTAGTACGTTCACAACCTATGACCACACAAATTTCTGAGTCCATTAGAGTCAAAGGTATCTAAGGAATAGAATATTAGAATAATTTAATGAAATTAACTTTTTTATATAGTTTTTAAATACGTTTCCATAACAGTGCAGTGGCATGCAATGTGTGAGGCTCATAAAGACAAGTAAATTATATATTTTAGATATAAACAACTTGAGAGATCAGTTCATATGTTATGAAGTTTTGGAAGTACTGCCTTATTGGCTTCTTTTCATTAAAATCATACAATGACACCTCCCATACAATGACATCAGCATCTAATATTCATGTACTTGAATTAAATGCAGAGAAATTCCTTAAAATAATAGCACTACATGATCAATTTTTCTTCATTTTAAATATATAATTAAAATGTTTGTCACACTTTTGAATCCACAGTTAATTTACAGAGGAGTGCACATTCTCTTCATGTGATATTTTCTTAACATTTCTATACTCATTTTGGCAAAATCTCTCCTCTTGAACAAACAGTGCACAGTAACCATACAATGTTGAAGTCTTAACATCTTTTTAAAAAAATGTCAAATAAGTATAAAAATTTTAATTAGACGTGTCTATAAAAACAGTTTAAAACCTATTCTCTTCTCACCCTGTATCAGGAGCCGGAGGAATAAACATTGGTGTGATCCTTCGCTTTCCATCAGTTGTGCGAGTCTCAATTTGGCAATTGATGGGTCCCTTATGAGGAGTAAGAGGCTGTGGTTGAGACGTGCTTGTATTTGTCGTGCTCTTCTCAGTAGGAACTGATAGTTCTGATTTCTTTTGTTGATCAGTAACAACTTTCTCTTGCTCTGCAAGCAACTCTGGTGTTTCCACTACAGTTACTTGCGGTTTAGCTGATGCCAGAGACATCCCATACATTCTTTCATGCAAAACGTTCTGTAATAGTGAAGAAACTATTTAAATTATCTGCTACTAACACAAGTCAAAATATTTTGTGTAAACCTTAATGTTATTTTTAATGCTATTTTTTTCATTAGGTCAATAGTGTGGAACACATTTATATTTAAATGAATATTCATTGTATAACCTTATTGGTATTTATATTCAATTAGATACTACAAATACAAAAAATATTATTATTTTTTTTACCTAAAGAAACATAATGAATATAAGAACAGTCTTATCAATTAGAATTATTTATTTATAAATTTTATTGAGTTAAAGTTACTTGTTGACTTTTATTTAATTTTGTTTTCTTTCCAATTCATAATGGTAACTTAAGTGCAGTCTTGGGCCCAAGATAATCTATTTTCTGGAAGATTAATATAATAATAAAAAAAACAAAAACTTTTCTACTTTTGGCTCGACTTGGCAAATTCAAATTTTCATGTATGCACCCTCAGGACAAAAATATTTTCTATTGGACCTCAACCTATCAGTCTGAAAAACCATAATCATTTTGATACCAGCAGTGAAAACATTCTTTGTTTTAGAGTAATTCTCCATTAAGATTTGCCCTTAGGAGTAATTCTCCACTTACATCTGTCATCTCATCGCAGTCAGTTTGTTAAAAGGACCACTAGGCAGCATTTCCACATAGAAGCCTCTAACAACACAAGCTCCTGCGTCACTACCCAATGGCCAGAATTGGGAATGAATTACGATAGGGGTGGGGTTTAGGACACTTCACGAGGATTGGACTAGCCCCTGTGAAGCAAGTAAACTTGTTTTGTAGGAACAAAACGGATATCTTATCAGGCAGAAAACTCCTAGCTACGTGAAGGCATGCTGCACCATGGGCTATTTACATATCAGAACCACAGAAAGATCATCCATACTGTAACAGATTGTTGTCAGTTATCCTCAACAATGGAACACAGTGGTGGATTTGAAGTATAGCAATCCAGTTCATGGAAAGAATATACCCTTAATAGTGAGAATAATCATGTTGGTAATCTGCATTTTATGACAATGACCATAGGAGAATTCTTGCTCCCTTTTAATTCAGGAGTAATCTTGTGACGGTAGAGTCCAAGATTACCTGGTGTGATCTAAAACTTCAATTTTTATGGTCACATGTTTGATTCCAATGGGGTTTCTTAACTTTTAATGTCTGCCCAAGTTTGTGAGAGTAGCATAAGAGTTAAATTTAATGAAAAGTTCAGTAAATAAAATTGAGTATTAATAAATTGGGGCCTTATGTTTAGAATACAATTAGTCATCCTGAACTTTTACCATATATCAGTTCAACATAATGATTGTGGATAATGATTTACACAGCAGTTTTAAACCTTATCATGGCACAGAAAAAATGCATAACATTTCTTAGGGATAATTATACAAAACCAACAGCTGAACAGTTTCTTGAAGAGCAATGCCTTAGACTCTACAGAAATTGTTTCAACAACAATTTTAATAGGGGACCCTATGTTACATAAGAACAATTCAATTGCTCACCTTCTCTTCAAGTGACAAAGGTTTTCCAAGCTCATCCTGTGAAAACTCAACAAATGCGACAGATCCGTCCCAGGAACATGCCATTAATTGCAAGCCAGTGAAACTCCATGACAAATCAAGTACTGAACTTGTAAATAGTTGATGAAGAACAACAAGAGGTCGTTTCAGAGCAGTTAACCAAACAGACAAGGAACAGTCTCGGGATCCAATTGCACAACAACAGTATTGTTGTGGTTTACTTGACTGACGATACTGTTTCTGAAGTATATTTGAGTTAAAACGCTGAAACACATAGTAAGTAATACATAAAATTAAAAATAAATTCAACACTGACATATCAGTGAATTAGTAGAAATTACTACTTACAACACATGTGACAGCTTTCCGATGCCCAACAAAGTCCTTGTCCTGTCGCCAACCTTCACGTTCTATTATTTGTGCAGTAGGACCACCACCATTCATAGCATGTGCTGAAACTAAGTACTGTCCATCTGGTGACCAGCTCAAACGGAGAACATGTGTAGTTCCTCCACACTGCACAAATAATTAAATAACATTTTATTATTAAACAGAAGAGAAATACATTTTGGGTTATAAGCTTCTCAATTACAGAATAAATAGATTTAAAAGATTTTTCCAAAAAAATAATTTCATTTCTCACAATCAGCAAATGTACACATTAAGAAATAAAACAAAATTCTTACAATTTTTCTTACAATTCTTACAAAATTCTTACAATTCATCTAATCACTCTCTGTAGGACACATTCATTCAAACACTTCATTTATTCATTACTTTATTAAATTAAGCATAAGAAACAGCAACTAAAGGACTGAAGCTAATTTGAAAACCAGAGTTCTCTGAAAAATGTCAATATATAATTGTTATTTCTCTATTATCACTTTCTCGCATACTACTTGAGATACTTATCGCACGTGCGCGCGCACGCAACCCCCCATGCACGCACCCACACACGCCCCCCCCCCACACACACACACACACAATGTTGAAGAGAGATCTCTGCCTTACCAGCTCCAAAATTTATTTGTGTCCCCTATACTAAGCGTGCTCAGAGAATAATACCCAAGTATTTACAACAGGATTCTTTGATAATGATTATTTTACACATCAGTAACTAAGACAGTTCTTATGTATATTCCTTAAAAACATATGCTTTTACATTCTTTTGCATTTATTTTAATTTTATTTTCTACAGCCCAAGAACAAATATGGTCAAGATCCTCTTGGAGGGCCATTTCTTCCAGCGATTTGATTTGCCAATTAATGATCCAGATGTCTGCAAATGTGTGAATTTCAGATTCCACTGATAATGGCTAACATTTAAAAACACTAAAAACAAAGGTAGACTCCTTGCAGAACTCCAGAGGAAACCTTCACCTCCCCAGAAAGCTCTCGTCCATCGTAGACTTTTTGTAATTGCCTTTTCAAAAATTCACTAATTCATGCTATAACTCTAAAACCAATTTCAAGATTAATTTTGAAATTAAAATGTCATGGGTAAACCTATCAAATGCTGTGAAGCAATCAATTATTATTGTAACTGATCATCTTTCCTAGTCAAGAGTATCAACAATAACTTGACATGTAGTGACAGTTTGTGATTCACAAGCATTTAATATTTTAAAGCTGTTGGCCTTCAAACAGAAATCCTATTACCATGTATCTCATTCCTTTCACAAATACTCAGCTATAAAATGTTCCATAAGCTTAGCTACAAAACAGGTCAAGCTCACTGCTCTCTATTTAAAACAGACATAGGGTTTCTACATCTGTTTTTCTTTTGAAAATCAGAACTATTATAGCTGCTTTCCAGTAATGGAGCATGCTGTTATTATTTAGACTAACTTTGAAAAGCCTAGTCAAAATTCAGTCGAGTATTTCTAGTGCTTAGTCAGAGTGAACAAATATATAAGATCATCGTCCAAACACAGTGTTCTTTTTTGTGATTGTGAAGACAAGGAAAAAGTATAAAATGGGAGAAATTTTAACTTTGGAAGAGTAAAATGGAGTCAATTTTACAGTGTGAACATATGGAAAGTGAAAGATCAGAGAAAAATCAGGGTAAATAACAAAAAACATGTATTCCAATACCTAAAAGCAAGGTTTTACTGTAGACACTACATTGTGTGCTTTCATTCCAAAACACTACAGAATTTTAATTTTTTACTAGAAGATTTATATAATGTTATATACACCTTGGTGGTAATACTAGTCTCTGAATTGTTAATGAAAAATGAATCAACTTCCAACAATTAATCATGGTTGGAAATACACTAAGACCACATCAAAAATTCTTTAAGTGAAGCCAAATTACATGGAAAATAATGTGAAGTATATATGCCGTATGATTTTTGCATGTTTGGATGGCAGAATAATTTTTTGTATCCTCTAATAGGACATTCTCGGTTCACCTGAATTTATTTCCTGTTTTCTCCTAAATATAATAGACTCAGGTACTCTAGTAAGGATTGCAAATACTATTTATCATAACAAAAAGTAGTTAAAAATTGAAGGAACATACTGTAATAGTTCCATCTTTGATTTGTTATAATAGAAAGCAAATTCAATAATCATTAGAGGCAACCTCTAATGATTATCATCTGTGATGTTCACATTACATGGAAATCTGGCATTCTAAAAGGAATATCACTCTTACACTATCTACTTGCCAATGAATATAACCCACAACACGTGTTCCATTTCCCTGCTTATTTTTACATTTAACAAAAAATCCATTACCCAGCTATAAACTGACTTTTGGAGAGAGTGATGATTGGAAACAAAACATTCTCAAATATTTTTAAAGGAGTACTGTAACTTACTTCTTCAAATGGCTCCTGAATAACAGCATCCTGTTGCCAATCAGCAGTTCTCCACACTCGTAATGTTTTATCATCAGACTGTGATGCTACATACTTGCCAACAGGGTCCCAAGCAACACCTTTAACCAAACCTTTGTGGCCTTTCAACACAGCAACCATTTCTAAAGAAAAAAAGCAACATTGAGCCACATGTAATTGAAAGTTCCATTTACACGTATTATATATAAGTGTGTGTGTGTGTGTGTGTAATGTATGAAGCTGCAATGCATTATTTTTGCCTAAAGAAACTAATAAAACCAGGAACACATGCAAAATAACTGAGGTGCATCAAGCATCTTCACTGATGAGTTTGTGGAAAGATGAGATACACTACAGTCCCATATTGATTATCCAGTCATCAGTGTGGAAATGCAGTCCAGATTTGATCCAATAAAACAACTTACTGAGGCTAATTAATTATACTGTGTTTCCAGGCACATCAACTACTATGGTCTCTAATCCTGTGCGAGTGTAAGTTACATCTCAAGAGGCGACAGTGTACATCATGATATCCAACATCAACCTTCATGGTGCATAATGGCTTGCAGGGTTTTCCCCTTCAGGTATCTAAGCCAATAGGGAGGAGGCTCCTGAGCTGGAATTAAGCCTAAGCTCCCAACTTGTCTTCTGCCATATGTGGTAGAGTAGTACATGCATGTGTGTGAAAAGGGACAGATGCAAAAGATGAGGATGAAATGATCTGCGCAGCTTAGAGCTCATATGTTAAGTCTCTGCTCTGGCATTCACCTGGTATTGATCGGAAAAAGAACAAAAAACTACTGATCAGAGCAGCTGACTGCTAGATTCCTCCCCAGACAGCAACTGAATTCAATCTAGATGTTTAGCTAGTGCCAAAAATATGCCTTCATCAGAACTTAAGCCCTATTCCTTGTTGGAGGCAATGCAGTGGCATCAGTTCGCCTTCTCCATACCAAAATAGAGTAAATGAAAAACCAATTATTTTGAGAAAATACAATTTTAATATTCTTCTTGGGCCTTGTGCACAGATACTGGGATTTAAGTTACAGAAATAATTGAAACTTTTAAAGATATTCACAAATAAGTCTGGTTTAAAGGTGCACCGTTATGCAATAGCCCACAGTGCATACAACACGTATTTGACAACAACATTGGTTACTGTTGTTTGGCATGGGGCAGCCGAGTTGTTGCCCTCAGTTGTCACAGATGGCACAACTCGCTGTGAAATTTTTTCTTTCCTTCAACCTGACTATTTTATTAAGATCTTAAATATTTATTTATTTAATTTTAAATCCACTTACTCTCTCTCAAAATTTATTTTGTGATTACTTTGTAACTTTACAATCATTTATAATTATACAATGTATGGAGTTTTGCCAGCTTTTCAGGGTTTACTCTGAACCAAAATAAATAAATAAATATACTGTAATAAATGCAATTGCGAAGAAAAAATATTTAATTGAAGAACATTATTAAGGAGTTTTTCTACCAAATTTCTACATTACTATCAATAGATGGTGTTTAAAAAATATTAGTCCAGTAAAAAAAGAAAGTCCTCAGTTCCAGTTCAGAGTTCACCATATCTACATGCGAAAAGTAATTTATTTATTTATTTACTTATTCACGCCAATCGGCTTTGCACATATAGGTAACAATTTATATACCACACTGAACAATCACATCCAATACACTATAACAATTTCTAAAT